TTTCTCTTAATAAAAAAAAAAATATAATAGAAGGTATTCATTTGTATATATTATGACATGCTTAATAAATAGCTCAGGTGCATCATCTACTTGATCTTTTGGGAAATATTATTTGTATTTTAAATTATTAGTATAAATTTGTTACAAGGTTGCAGCATCTAAAAATTTTAAGTTTGTTTTTTAGCAATTTATAGGTTAGTTATTTTTTTTTAAGAAAAAGCGTGATAACTACAGCCATTAGTTACTATTACATGAATTTACATGCCTTAGTATTAATTTTATTATAACATATAAATTAGTCAATAATGTATTAAATTATATAGTTTGTTTATATAATTTATAATTTACAATATAAATAATAACAATAGAACATAAATTAGTATATATGGCTGAGGAAATCCAATAGCTTTTTTTTTGGGGGAGTGTGAGGTCCAAATCGGGTGATTTTGCAAAGATTAGAGGACTGTTAGGATGGTTTTGTCTTTTAGATGCATTCTGTCATGAAATATTGAATGTTGAGGACCTCATTATATAGGTACAGTGCATGTCCAACATTTGTTTTAGTTCTCCTGTTATTTATAAAGAATTTCATATTTTTGATAACAGTGACTCTCAATTTCTTTGTTAAATATATTTTTTCTGTTTTCTTCGTTTGCCTAAATCATTTGCATAAAAAGAGAACTACAACTTATTCTTGAAATACGTATTTATAGGTTTAAGACATAATTATACTTATGATTTTTTTTTCTCGATTCGTTAAAAATGAAAATAAATAATTTGTTAGGGCTTTTTTAAGTTTCCTTAATTTGTTACGCTGAAATTTCAATAAGGCAATAACTATTAAAATGAAATTTACTGTCTTTTGTTGTGTTGTACCTGCAGTCAGTGTTCGATAATTTAGTACTTGTGAGTTGTAATATGACCAATACGGTATAATACAAGGATGTGTTTTGAAACATCCATCTATTTCAATAGCATGATTTAAGTGCAGATTGCATGTACACAATGTAAAACACAATATGTGTTCGTATCGAATTCGTTTGTCTTTTCGCATTAAATTCAAATTGAGCTTGCGAAAACAATAATTATATTAGTAATATGTACTTCAGGAACTTGATTTTGCAACTTTCTGCATAATTTCGATTATAATTAAATATTTTATCCTAATTCTAACCTGTCTTTGACGTTTTTCCAAATGGCTTAAAATTTACATATATTTATATTATTTATGATATGTACCAACAACTATATTTTTGGGACTATATATCAAAAAATCCAGGAATAGCTTATTTGAGCATCTTAGATGAGAACAGTAAAAACGCATAATATATTATCGTTATAATATTATTATCTTCTCAAACCACCATGGAAATATAGGCATTTGAATAATGGGCAGTGGGCACATAACGACAGCTTATATGATCACATCGCAGTATAGCTCGTGCTAATTACCATACCCTCAACTAGTTGTTTTTTGTCAAAATAATTTGAAAACATGGAAAACTGTAGGTGCGTATAATGTTCATCTAATCCAATTTCATCGGACTGCTAGTAGAATCGCGGTTGTGACCACAATAACTACAATAACTAGAATTTTACAGAATGTAATAGACTAAAAACCTTTTAAATATTAAATACGCACGCGTTTGTACATTAAAAATTGGAAATTATTTCTATATGAAAAAAAAACCACGAGAAAAACATTAAATTCTGAGCCACGGTAATAACACGTAGTATAATATAATATTTACGCCATCGTAAAGTAAAGTAGTTAAATATTAATCCATATAAGAAAATGTAATTTTAAAATATTTAATGCGTACCTATTATCAGTATTATCTATTGTTGTGCTGGTCATTAGTTTATTCAAATATGTCGATGTTTTGAACATAATATTATAATATATTATTTATACGCGTATACAAAACAAGTTGCTTAAAACGTTTCGTTTTACAATATAACAACCCTGCTGCTGACAGACCTCCGGTGCCTATATAATACCGTATCTACACCATTAATTTATCTAAGGGATTATATCGTCGGATACGAAACATACGCTCTCGCTCACACACACACACACATCAGACGAATAAGCATATAAGCGCATATAGACGCATAAAACGTGTTGTCGTTTCGAAGAGTAGAAAAGGAAACGCCGGTCTCGCAACCACCCACCTTCCCTATCCCGGCGAGCACCCGCACGACCACTAATTATATATAATATTATATTTACTGGCGAGCGCGTTACACCATTAAAACACGGCTTCCGTCGTATATGCGGTGTGTTATTATTACAGGAGCTTATTGCCATCACGATTTATGTGTATTTCTGCCGACGACTATTACAGTATACGCATAACTATGTATATAATGTATCACGTGTACCTATTTAATACGTAGGCGTTTGTGTGTGTAAGCCTACTGTATATATATTTGTATACCCGCGCGACTCGCACTTTCCTCTCCGCGTGCAGTCGCTTATTCTGCGTTACCATAATATTATAGTGTACCTACCTATTATATATACCATAATATAATATATMATAAAGCAACAAATCCTCGTCTCTGAAGACGCGAACCATTTGTTTGGGATTATAATAATAATAGTGTAATAAAAATACAACTTATACGCGCACGGCGGCGTGTGTACTGCAGCTAGTCATCTTCACTCACACAATAATAATATAATGATATACATAAATGGTTCTATAGTTTCAAAACAGAATAAACGTTTCGCTACATCTACGGAAATCATTTAGGTACTAAATACATCAGAAATATAACATTATTATGACACCACGATATTCATGTTATAATATAGTGTAACATATCAGCTATATTGACACCTACAATTAATATTATATATTATTACATTATTGTATAGGTGGTATTCATTTTGAACCTCGAACTAGACTATAAAATATTATCGTTAAAAAATAAATCTCCTATCATAATATTAAACTCAGTTTAACCTTTAATGATAATAATAATATTTTATGTGTGTAAAATAATATTCTTAATTTAATACCAGGATAATAGTAAAATGGTAACTCATAAAACAAAAAATAAATAAATAAAAGAATATCGCTCAGTCAACAAATACAATTATATTTTTTTCAAACTAAATTATTGAATTTTTAATGTTTTCCAACATTTGTTTGAAAATGCGCATTATATATAGCTTAAGTCGATTTTCTCATTTTCTTGGTACGGTAAATATGTTTTTCTTGAAGAAATAAATTCAAATGCGTAATTCACACATGCGAAATTAATAATTAATAATTAAAATATATTAAAATAAATTAAATAATAAAATAATTTAGTAAAATATATTAAAAATTAATAATTAGATCGTGATGTAAGACAAAAAATTTAATTATACGTAAACAAAATTTATTCAATAAAATATTTTTAATATGAAGAATATTAGTTGAATCGATGAACTAACTAACAACTCTGTCTACAACAACTGAATGTGTCTGAGTATCGTTATTGTATTATAGAACAATAAAATAATTATATAAGGTCACCAGCAGAAGCCATAATAATCTATTTATCAAAACTAATCACTCAGGGGGTTCCTTAAGTGTTATTATCGTCACTGATCTCTACTGAAAAAGAAAATAATAAATAATATAGAAGTTTTAAGACTTTAACGTTAATAATAGACGTTTTGTAATAGGTATTACTACACACAAATACACAATGTAAACTACAAACAGCTTGTAGACATAAAATGTTATGGTTACGGCTTATTAGTTATTACTTATTATTACGCCTTATTACGTTTAAGAAAAGTTTCAAGCTAACAAAACTAAAATGGTAGTTGTCAAGTAAAATTAAATTTCGTTTTAGTGTTATTAAAGTATATATATATAAATGTCTAACTAATTTAATAACAAATATTTATAATGTATATGTATTGAGTCGATTGAATATTTTAAATTGCACAGCCATAAACTCTTAAGTTTATGTTCTTTATGTTTTGAACTAGTGACCATAATAAATTTTGTATTACTATCTGTTTTACAAACAATTGAGTTATTGTAAGAGATGGGAATTATTTTATAAAAATAACTTTTATTTGTAACTAAACATGTTTAATTAATGTTTAATGTTCAATGTTTAAATAATTAATTAATATTACGGTATTTAAGAATAATAATATTTAACATCAATATAAACAAAATACATTGAGGTATATCATTAGTTTCAATACATTGTATATTATTATCCAAGGAACATTATACGAGTAAGTATCGGAGAATCGCTGAGTATGTAGTTAAGTTCGCTCGATGTAAGGTACCTCTACTACTTTTTATTTTGTTTTCCAACACACTATTAATATATCCCAGTACAGAGATAATACAGTCTTCTTTAAGACTGTGGTGACATAATAAATAGTTATACACTTTGCCCCCTCCCATCATGATAACTCAATGCTATTTACCAGTAAGATTTTATTTCATTTAACTTTATTTCATGAATCTTTCCAATGTAGGTATATGTAGATATATTATTAATCAATCATTCAATATTGTTATGTTTTCAAATGTCCAGAATACATAAAAAAAATTAGTAGGTCATATACGAAAAGTTTTACTTTTATTACCATAGTTTTATATTTTATAAAATATTTTTCAGTGTGATGTGAAAATCGTTTAAGCATACATTTTTAACAGATAATTATTATGCTGCATAATAAGACTGATAGCTGATTTATAATACATAAGTAATGATGGAATATGTGTCAAACATAATGCAGTAAAGAATAAATAATTTGTTAACTGTAAACAGCTTAAATAAAAGCCACATAATAATATAATATTATATATTTAATAATCATTGAAAAAAGTATATTGTTTAGTATGATCGGATTGTATTTTTCATTTCTTCAAATATAAGTATTTTAACATAATATTAATTATTATTATATTTTTATTTAATATACCATCACCACATTTTTAAATGAGAATATAGAATAATAAATTTAAAGGTGAAAATATTTGTCATTTGATTATGTTTAAATACATTACAATATTGTTAAAGCAATGGTTTGAGTTTTTTTCTGTAACTGAATATTGACAATTTGAACACATAACTACCGATATATACATCACCAGCATACATTTTTTGAGTCACTTTCCATTGATAGTTAGCTATATCAGAATACCACCGAACCCCTTGGTCAATATCATATGTTCCATTTATCAATCGATAATGTACCTAAATACAAAAGGTAATTAATCACATGTTTAAAAATATTTATAAATAAGTTTTTATAAAATATTAATTTAAAAAAAATCATTTTACCTAATGATTAATACATAAAATGTACTTAAATAGGTCTATAAAATATATAATTTAATACAAAATCTACTGGTAAATTAGCCATTAGGTATATAATTTGACGATAGCTGAATTATTAAATTAAAATAGTTACATTACCTAGGTCATATAGATGATAAATATAAATCAAATTACACAATATATATAGAGTAATAGATTCGCAATTAGTGAATTATCTAATATGTATACATATTAAATTTACAATTACCATTATATTTACTCGAATTAGGTACATCAGTAACTAACTGTCTATAAATTAGTTAAAAAATAAAGAATAGCTTAAAACAATACAAGTAAAACTAAAAACACAATAACACTACTGAATTGTCAAGAAAAGCAAAGTTAATAAATAACTTAATTACTTAATTACCCTTACTTTATCTATTGGACAAACCATAGGTGGATCAAACGAACCGTACCAACGGGACCATATTTGGTTCTTATCCTTCAGTTTAGGACAGATATCTGTTAATGTCCACGTTTGAAAGTATTCACAGTTAATGCCATCAGCATCACAACGATAGAAAATTCCGATAACCTTTAAAAATATATTGTAAACAATTGATAATAATATGTAAAGCTAAACAAATATAAGTAAATTAATGTTTTAATAATTGATTCGTTTGTAATTGACTGACTTAGTATTATTCTAGTTCAAAAATATAATTCTATAATATGATAAGAGTATAAAATATTCAATTTATTTGGTGATATTTTATGATATCCTATCTAGGTAGATCCTATCATTAATCATTATTATGGTTGTTTAATTTAAAATTGTTTCACTTACTTTGTCGATTAATAATTTTGAATTGATAGTTATATATCCATTTATGTATTGATTATCTTGGTATTGGTCGATTGAGAAATTTCCAGTGATGTTGTCAAGTGCACTCATTTTTTTAAATCGTAACGAATAGGTTAACAGTGGATTGTACTGAAAATCGGTGGTAAAATAACATTTTTGAATCAAATCTCCCTGCGAATCTATATGATTGAAATAATATTTTAAACCTAATTAAATCTTAAAGTATTGTTGATAATTTATTTCACTTAATTATATAGTAAAATTATAATCGTATAAAGATTTATTTAAGTCATTCTGTCAGGTTTTATATCATTATTAAATTTGTTTGTTAACTCACTAATAGCTAGCATGACTATTTAATTGATAGAGAAATATAATATACAAACCATTTTATACTTGTTAAATGTAAAAATTGTGTATTAACATATAATAACCAATTTTATATTTTTAGCGAATCGATTATTTAACAGTTATGTTTGTATGTGTTTATTTGTTTGTAACTTATTATTATTGAATTTTTGARCAAAAAAATGTTTAAATTTTTAATTTCAAGGATAGTTTCTGGTAGAATATGATTTTTCATTTGCAATTTGGAAAAAGTGGATAATTTCAAAATAATCGGGAAAATAGATCATTTTTAACCAAAACCGATTATCTAAAATTGTTGTTATTAGAAAATCAATAGCTTTAATGACTATCTTTTCACCAAATATTTATGTAAGCTATAACACATGATATAATTTTTAATATATTTTGGTTTTTGTTGTACTATATATTTTATAGACATTTCAAGTTTAAACATCGACGAAATTGGATATTTGATAGGAAAATATCGAATTTAGTTATTTCATCGGGGTTCAAGAATATTATTCATTTTGAGACTTGAAACATTTTATTGCCACGTTTATTGGTATAATTTACCATACCCATTGAATGAAATTATTAAATATTGAGATTAATTTTAAACTGTTTATTCCACGAACTTATTTACGCCTTTCTATACTGACTTTTGACTTTTTGAGTGATCAGTTAATAATACTACCTTTATTATGTTAAATCACTTAAAAATGTCATATTAATTATTAAGTACATTGTGTATTCTATGCTATTTTTCGATATGTCTTACAAAAATCAGTTTAAATTTCCGTATAAAAAAATGAAAATAAATTTAACACGTCCATTATTGTGAATTACTTTTTAAAGAGGTACACTATTGAAGTTTAAACCTATTATACAGCAAAACGGCTTTCACGGTCTTATTAAAAAATATTTTAATTCAATAACCTTTTAGTAATTTTAATTTACCACTGATATATTTATATGCATTTTAGTTGTATCACAAGTTTTAAATGTATAAACAATTATCTTGACGCAACTCTCTATGAGAGTATGGCATCTATGAGAAAGTTAAACTACAAGTACCTACTTACTAATTCTATAACGCATATACTTACAATAGACATCACATTCCTTATAAAACCTTCAATGAAAATCACAATTAAGAACTTAAATAGTTCCATTATTTTCTTGTATTTTTATCAATGAATTTTTGTTATAAAATAAACATTTAAAAGTATAAAATTCAACACAAATATCTACTAACACAGGCTGTTGACTTTAAGTATTGGTAATGAAATGAATATCGTAGCAAAAATTATAAAAATATGTCATGTCCTTTTTGTTTATGGTATTTTATGAAGCTCAAATAGATTGAATTTAAGTAACGATTTTGTGCTATCATTACATTAATTATATGGCAGTTGAAGGTCTATCATGATTCGGTTTAGTGATCTATTAATAATAGCAAAACATTACTATCTTTTATGTTTTTTTTCAATCAGTAAAATCATATACTGTGATACTGTGAACACTATTATTATTTTAAATGATAAACTGATAAACTTGATAAACTAGCCTTGTACATTATTATAAAACAAGTTATTTTTTAGTCATCCAAATTTTAAAGCTAAAGCAAGTTTGTAACAATTATACTTATTATACCTGTTGGCTGTTTTAATATATAGGATGATTTATACCAATCATGTTCGCCCTTTTTTAATTGAATTTTTAAGTATTCTTAACACCGCATATGTACCTATTCATAGAGATTTTGATTTTTTGTATCCTTAAGTAATTTTCAGTAGCGATGAATAAATTGATTTTACTACAATGATGTGTTTGTTTTTAAGTGTATGTACATGATTTATAGTGGAAAAAATACTTTGATTTTCAGTTTCATTATCGTTTCTAGAAGAAAAATGAGTSTGGTTTGTACTTTAAATAATGCAAAATAATTACGAATTTCGTTTTAATAAAGCTATAAAGTTATCTAAATGTCTTATTATTGTTTTAGTTAAGGTTTCTTTTTCTGAAGCCAAATGATTCATGCTCTTACATGTAACTTCCTATAAACTTATCAGTTATTACCAGCTTTTATCTTTTGTGTCACTATTTCCATTGATGGTCGGTCACTCGAGGATACTGTTTCGACTGAAAATTAATTGAGCTGAATTATTTTTAATTAAAAATTGGACTGTGTATGGTTTATATAATTATGATATTTATTTGTAATATAATAATTAATTGATATAATATATTGTAATGCGCAACTAAGTCGGCGATGTGATTACCACCGACATATACGATATACGCAACACAACAAAATCAAAGATTTCATTTATATTTTGATAATTTATCTAAATCTAAACAATTATTACACATAATATTATACCGTTATTAATTAAACATTAAAATTAAATATCGCACTACAAATGTGACCATGCAAGATTACAGAGATAACTGATTTTAATAAAACGCTTTTATTAATACTAAAATAGTAAAATATAAACATTTCTAATAATCGAAAATGTTATTTTATACTTATAATGTGTGCATTTGCACCGCTTGGCCGATAGTCTGCTTATGTACATATTATTTATCCAATTCTACTATACATAGTTTAAAAGAATACCTAAATAAGTTTTTCTGGTGTTGTTATAATTTAAATGTAAGCATGTACCTATAATATTATGATGAAACTTTACATAAATTTACGAGCAATACTTCCATGCCTTATTTTATGGACAAACTATCGATGTATGTATAAGTCGTACAACGTTAATATATTTGGTTTTTCTGGTAATATATTTTAACACCAGTAGTACCCTAGATTGGAAATACAGCAATTAATGGGATCGCAATACATAAGTAATTTAGCTATTCAATAATAATTATATATTGATTTTTTTTTTATTCCTTAAGCATAATCTGCATAGGCTATTAGCTTTAGCAAAAGTATTACATTTTTGCATTTTTATACGTCATTGTACAATTCAATTTTTTTTAGATATAAAATTAGATTTTCAAGGATGTTGATATCTTTCCTAGTTTCTTTTGGGCAGTGGACGATGATATGTTTGATGGAGTAATTTTCATTGCGTGTTGGGCATAGAGGTGGATMTGTCTTTGCTATAAGGTATTCATGTGTGAATTTTGTGTGGCCTATTCTAAGTCGATAAAGAATTACCTCAATTTTTGTGTTTATTAGGCCAATGTATTTCGGCCAGAGTTCAACAGCGTGCTTAATTTATCTTAGCTTATTTTCCATGATAGTTTTTCATTTGGTGCTTAACAAATCAATGCAATATTTGTCTATATTTCTTTTTATGTCAACAAGTGATGAAAAAGAAATTATTTCACTGGTGGGACTATTTAATGCATTTCTTGCTGCTTTATCTGCCTCCTCATTTCCTTTTATGTTGCAATGACCTGGAGTCCAAATTAATCTGATGTTTTTGTTTGATGAGGAAAGAAGGTTATCAATTTTTAGAGCCAATGGCTCAGTTAGTATTTTAGATTGCAGATTACCTAGTTGTTAAAGCACTGAGTGAGTCGGAACATATATTTATTTTTCTATCATTGATTTCTAGAGCTAATTGGGTTTCCTTATATAGTGTTAGGTATTCGGCTGTAGGAATTAAGTCTGCTTAAATTATTTAGTTTGAACTGTTTAGTTGCATTAAGGTGAACTACTGCAAGTCGTATATATCCGTTTCACTTTTAGATGCATCAGTATAGATATGACTACTGTTATTCGAACAGTGTATAAGTTCATAAAATAAGTTGTTATAAATAGTATTATTTGGTGTTTCTTTTTTCAAGTGTTCTGTTAAGCTTGTATCAAATATGTAATTTGGTTATTCTAAGTAGGTATCTGGCTGTTTTCCTGTTGACATATGTCACTAAATGCAATATCGATATCCATCATTTTTTTCTGTAGTCTTAGCCCTATTAAAAATATTATTTATTAACTTGCAATTAATTTTCATAATTTAAAATTGTTTAAAAACTTACTAAACTATA